ACCCTTTTTTTTTTTTTTTTTTTTTGCCGATCGATTGATTGATTGATTGGGTCTGGGGGGGTCGCCTCACCCACGCGAACACACACACACACACACATACACACACACACAAGCACATACACACACACATACACACACACAGACACACACACACACACACATACGCACACGGAAACAAGTGTGGTAGTGTATATTTCCAGAGACGGTTTTGCTCATCCATTCAATGGAAGTACGAGGAGGCCAGCGGCGAGCTTGGAGACTTACCCTCTCTCTCTCTCTGTCACACACATACACACACACACACACGCACACACACACACACACACTCACACATTCACACACACACACAAAAACAAGTGTGGCAATATATATCTTCAATGACATGTTCTAGCGGTAGATTCATTCGATTTTTCTCAGCCGTTCAATGAAAGTACCACGAGGTCAGTTTCTCTCTCTCTCACACACACACACACACATACACACACACACACACACACATTAAAAAAAAGAAAAAATATGAAAATGTATATTTTCTAGTTCCAGCGGTAGATTCATTCGATTTTGTTTTTTTTTTTCCTATTTTACAATAATTTAAATTTTAAAAAGATTAAAAATACTAAGGGGCCCCTAAAGAACCCCCATGCCATCCTTGGGGGTCAACCCCCCCCGGTCACCTGCCCACGGAGCCTAGACACGTTCGGACAGGACCCGCCTGTATGACTGTACGACCGTCCATACATCCGCATGCACGGGCCGTACGGAGATCCCCCATACGACGTAAAAGGGACTACATTGCACTGATTGCAGACCACCTTAATTCTTTTTGTTCTTTTTTCGATCGATCAGTCAATCAATCAATTATTCCGATCGAATCAATTGATTGAATTGGATCTTGATTTTCATTCAATGAAGAATCTGAATAAATCATTCGATTTGATTGGAACAATTTGATTGATTGATTGATTGATTGATTGATTGAATTAAAAAAAAAAAAAGATTGTGGCAAGGCGGTAGCTGGCGGGGGCAACATGATATCGAGGAGAAGGAGGAGGAGGAGGAGGAAGAGGAGGAAAAAGAAAAGGAAGATGAGGAGGAGGAGGACTCCGAGGAAAAAAACGAGAAGAGGACAAAGAAGAAGAAGAAGAAGAAGAAGAAGAAGAAGAAGAAGAAGAAGAAGAAGAAGAAGAAGAACAACAACAACAACAACAACAACAAGAAAAAAAGAGAAGGAGAAGAGGAGGAGGAGGAGAAAATTGTGGAGGAGGAAGAGGAGCAGGAAGACACACGAAGGAGGAGTACGAGGAGGAGTAGGAGGAGGAAGAAGAAGAAGTGGAACTGTAGAAAACAAGAAGGAAGAAAAAAGGAAGAAGAAGAAGAAGAAGAAGAAAAAGAGGACGAGGAAGAGGAGTACGAGCAAGAGGAGGAGGACGAGGAGGAGAAGAAGACGAGAAGAAAAATGTGGAGGACAAGGAAGACGAGGAAGAGGAGGAGGAGGAGGAGGAAGGAGAAGAAGATGATCATTAGGAGGAAATGGAGGAGGTCGCGAAAAAGGTGGAGGAAGAGGAGGAGAGGGAGGAGGACAACACGCGGAGGAGGAGGAAAAGCGGAGGAGTTGAAGGAGAAGGAACAAGAGGAGGAGGAGGAGGAGGAGGAAGATGAGCTTCAAGATGATAATGATGTGCAGGAGGGGGAGGAGGAGGTGGAGGAGGAGGAGGAGAAGGAGGACGATGTGGACGATGACGAAAGGAAGGACGAGGACGAGGAGGACGAGGAGGATGAGGAGAATGAGGAACAGAAAGAGGAGGAGGTTGAAGGGGGTACTTGACCTCATCGTCGACAGAGGAGGAGGACGAGGCTCCCGACAATGGCGCCCGCAACGGACATGCAGGGCAGCGGGGTACCTGACCTCATTGTCGACAGAGGAGGACAAGGGGAGCGAGCAGCAGGAGGCACGACTATGTAGCCGCGAGCCGTTGGTAGGGAGGAAGGGGGGGGCCATGCCATTTACCGTGCGCAGTCCGAAACGCACCGGCGTGATTTCGAATTAAGAAATGACTTAATCTGGGTCATCAATCTTAATTGGTCGATGACCCAAAACGAGTTGTTTTTTTTTTCGAATTTCGCGGGGCCGTTATTTGATTCGCCACCACGACGAGGTCCCAAAGGTTCCAAAACCCCTTGGCACCCCTAAATTTCTGGAATAACCCGTGCGACAATTTTGCGCAAGCTCCGGAATGGTTATTTCCATGTCCTTTCGGGGTTCATTTTCGGTCTGATATAGATATCGAAAAAAATAACTTAGGTTTATATTCCTTAATAGCAACATTGATCATAATAATATGCAATCCTCTATTTTCAATTGTCAAGTTTGCACGAGTAAATCTCTAGAGACTCTGGTGGTTTAAAAACGCTAAATTGATATTTGTTTTGGGGAACTCTAGTGGTTTAAGAACGCTAAATTTTCAATTGTCAAATTTTAAAATTTCTTGTTTTGTTCAATAAGTTCCTGTCTAAAAACGACTTTTCCCTTCCAACAACATTTATTTGTTAAAAATGGAATGAAAGCCTAGATCAATTTCTGAAATGTCTTTATTAAACTTTCATTCCACTATAACAAATATCTTCTAATTTAGATTGAATTAACCTATTTTTGACTGAAAATTCTTATATAGAATAACAATCCAATTAAAATTTTCATGAACTCATCCCGACTTTCATTCCATATTTAGCACGCAATTCAAATAAGATGGGATACCCCATTCTTGAAATGAAAGTTTTTTTAGTAAGACGAAAAATTTCGAAACTGGAACGACATTTTTTTAGGATGGAATAAAAAATTAAAATTTGAAATGCAATTTTATTGTAAAATGATATTTAATTATTTATTTATTTTTTATTATTATTTTTGAGAGGGTGGGGGAGGTGTGTTTGAGGAGCACCTTAGGTTTCCATATCCGACGGGGTTAAAAAACACATCTTGCACCCCGCCTTAAACCTCTCAATACTTCCGTATGCCTAAAGTTGCTCATTACCCCCACTGCGCTGCTTGTATACCCATAACACCCAGACGCCACTTCCGCCGCGGAAGCCCTTTCAACCCCCACTTCAACACCCCATACATTCCCCTTTTACTAAAAAACCACTCAACACCTCTTACACTCGACACCCTATAGCACTTCCTTCAAAGTTCACACCCCTTACTACCCCCTTTATACCCTATACCGCAAAAACGTAATTAAACCCCCTCCTTCCCATCCGCTTATACCTGATACTCGTAAAATTGAATTAACAACCCATGGTCCCACTGAGCCTCACCCCCCCTAAAGCCACAATTACACCCTCTAATACCCCGCTACACCCCTTATACCCAATAACCCTAAAATGTAAATGAAAGTTGAAAAAACATTTCATCAAAAAAAATTCCTTCATATTTAAAAATTATCATTCCACTGTTCGTCAACCAGTTAGTCAGTCAGTTAGCCAGTCAGTCAGTCAGTCCATCAGTCAGTCAGTCAATCAATCAATCAATCAATCAATCAATCAATCAATCAATCAATCAACCAACCAATCAATCAGTCGACCAGTCATTCAATGAGTCAGTCAGCCAGTCACACACACACACACACACACACACACACACACACACACATACACATACACACATCTGGTACTTTCCCACACACACATAATCAATCAATCAATCAATCAATCAATTCAATCAATCGGTGAGTCTATCACTCTGTCCATCATTGGCTCTATCAATTGGTGAGTCAGTCAATCAATCAGTCAGTCAGTCAGCCATCAATTAATCAATCAATAAATCAATCAATAAATCAATCAATCAATCAATCCATCTACCAATCAGTCAACCAACCAATCAATCAATCGGTCAGTCATTCAATGAGTCAGTCAGTCAGTCGCACATACATACGTGCACACACACACACACACAAACACACACAGACACACACATACATACACACACACACACACACACACACACACACACACACACACACACACATTCACACGCATACACACACACACACATACACACACCATCAATCAAATCAACCACATTCGACTTACGACATGCATACCGATAGATGATGCCAAAGTTGACGAGTAACTCCCCGTCACTTAATCAATTAATCATTCAAGGAATCAATCAATCAATTTTTTAGTCAATCCGTGAATCGATCGATTGGTCAATGAATCGATCGATCTGTCGATCATTCAACCAATATATCAATCAATAAACCAATTAATCAATCCATCAATCTATCCATCAATCAATCCATCAATCAATCATCCAATCGATGAATCGGATTATTGGACCACTAAATCAATCGGATTATCAGACGAATCAAGGAATAAATCAACCAGGTAACCAATCAGTCTATGAATTTCGTATATGTTCTCATGAATGGAAGCTCTTACAATTCGTAAAAAGAATTGTGCAAACAATATAAATACTCGACATATATTTAAAAGGTTCAACGTTCATCGGATATGGCATCTAGAATTATCGAATTGTTGCATAGTGCTCGCTTAACAAACAATCGCTCGGTAGACTACTATTTTCTCACTTGCCCTGTCAGAGCTGAGAGTCCTGGTGAATTGTCCACTTTCGATTCGCGGGATAGAATGGACACGAAGCACTACGTCGTACTGGTTGACGGTGAGAGTACAGTGTGTTTATGTCAACCACTCAGTAAATCGATGTTTGTGTCAACCAATCAGTAAATCGATGTTTATGTCAGCCACTTAGTAAATCAATCACAAAGTTAGTCAGTCCATTGAGCAATGATCCGTCAGTCCATCGATCAATTCGTCTGTCAACCAGGCATTCAATCAAGCAATCAATAAGTCCATCAGCCGGTCAATGAACCAGTTTGTCCGTCAGACCGTCGATCGATCTTCTAGTTCACCAATCAATCCACCTGTTCACTGATCGATCAATCAGTCCACTAGTCTTTCAACCAGGCGTTCAAACGAGCTATTAATCACCACATTAGTTGGTCAATGAAATTGTCAATCAATCAGTCAGTCAGTAAATTCATTGACCTCGGATATGTCAATTGATCAATCACTATGTCAATCAATGAATCAGTCTAACAATCAATCGGTCAATCATTCAGTGCAGCAGTCGGGTATGTTTGATCGCGATATAATCGACAATTGTTTGGTCTCGATGTGCAGAACAGTGAGATCATAAAGTTTATGCAAAAAAAAACACTGGACAACGATGTTCGGGAAAAGTTAGTGGTCGTTGATGAAAGTCTGCGTACATTTCATGACTTGATGGAAGTGGTTGCCGCCAGTTTGCGTGAAGCTGATACGGCGCTTGATTCACTATGGAAAGCATCGATCGTCGCTCCTAATGAACTCCGCTCCGTCGTCGGGACGAAGGGGAAAAAAAACAATATCAGATCGCTTGTGTCCATTTTCTGGGTTCCAGGAGCACACGAGGGCGTGCCGTCCGAATCACAAGGGCGTCATTATTTATGATCAGGAGTACAACGAAGGTTTGCAAGGGGATGACAAAAAAAATTCGAAAGAAATTATATCTCATTGGATAGGTTGCTCCGAGAAGTCTCGAGTCTCGCGTATCACAAAACACGGGAAGGCTCCAGAGTCCTGACTCAAAAAGCATTTGGATGTGCAAGAAAAAATCAGAAAGAGAGTTGTTGAAGGGCCATGATTGTTATGACTATAAGCATTGTCTGGATGCTTTGGGTATGCATGGGAAAGAGCGAAATAGTATTGTGCAAGAATGTTCGCGACATAAGGATAACCAACACAGGCCTTCAACACCGCCAAATTTCTGGATTATTGGCTTCCCTGATTTAAAAAACTCAAGGCTAATGAGACAAGATGCATAGTTGCCTATATGATGTTGTTATGATCGATGTTAATCGTTTTATGAACCAATGAAGTATGTGTGTGTATGTGTGCGTGTGTGTGTATGTGAGAGAGAGAGAGAGAGAGAGAGAGAGAGAGAGAGAGAGAGAGAGAGAGAGAGATAGTTATGGTGTGCAATCCATAGTGATGTCTTTCATTACTTATTGTATTTACAAACATTTTGTTGACATAGGTATGTGTACGCAGTTCTTAGGGTTCGATGCGTATCAGTATGTTGGTCGAGAAAGATTTGCAAGATGCAAGACGAGTAATACAAGATGTTATCAACAATCTGCATGCAACCGTTTGCTTGCTATATCGAGATTGTTGATAACATCTTGTATTACTCGTCTTGCATCCTGCAAATCTTTCTCGACCAACATACTGATACGCATCGAACCCTAAGAACTGCGTACACATACCTATGTCAACAAAATGTTTGTAACTCAAGGCTAATGAGACAAGATGCATAGTTGCCTATATGTTGTTGTTATGATCGATGTTAATCGCTTTATGAACCAATGAAGTATGTGTGTGTATGTGTGCGTGTGTGTGTATGTGTGAGAGAGAGAGAGAGAGACAGAGAGAGAGAGAGAGAGAGAGAGAGAGTTATGGTGTGCAATCCATAGTGATGTGTTTCGTTACTTATTGTATTTACAAACATTTTGTTGACCTGGGTATGTGTACGCAGTTCTTAGGGTTCGATACGTATCAGTATGTAGGTCGAGAAAGATTTGCAGGATGCAAGACGAGTAATACAAGATGTTATCAACAATCTCGATATAGCAAGCAAACGGTTGCACGCAGCAGCTAAACTCGCTCGCCGTACGCACGCAGATTTGCAAACATTGCGTGAAGAGATTGGTGTAGAAGAACAACGACTGATAGACAGAAAAATGTCGATCGAAGGAAAAAAACACGAAGTGTCGATTGCGATCCGACCACATGTGGACAATATATACGTAGGACAACATATATCGACTGCGGGGAATGGGGGGTGTAATAGCGAGGGTCGTTGTCTCGTGTGTGGTCGCTATCTGACTGGGAGGACAACACAGGCTTCGGGGTCACCGTCATTTAAATGGGACAACACTGTATCATCTTCACAAACGTCGACGCGTTCAGTTACTTCAATAAAGACACTGTCGTTTCGTTAATATGTACTGTGATTGTCGTGGTGTGTGCGTAAAACATGAACGACGTTCACAAAATAATGGCTGTTTTGATTTGTATAAAGTGATTTGGATTTCATCGTGAATAATGTGTTACCCATATCTGTGTTGTAACGTGCACGAAAACAATACCATTACATCTTGTATTCGGACATTGTAATATATATATATATTTTTAAACTAACTCTCTCTCTTTCTATATATATTTATATATATATAGGGTCACCAGCCCGTACGTACGGAGGTCCCCGGGCAGACCTCCATACGTACAGGCGTTCGGGGTCCCGTACGAGGTTCGAACCCGACGGCGTTCGGCCCCCGCCAAAAACATTTTCGGGGCCTAAAGATAACTAGGTTTTTCTGAATTTTTTTTTTGTGACTTCTTTTTGATGTCAGGTACATGCCTTTAAATTTTCAAGTCATTTGCCTAAGCCAAATAAGAATTAACAATCGCTAAAGATGGCGGTGTCAAAACGTGCTCGCCCACGTATTTTTTTACTTTTTACTTCATGTTTTCACTTTAGTTCAGGGTCTAAACAATTTTATTATTTTTTGAAACTTTTTTAGTGGGTTTTGTATTCTGTGAAGTACACATCTATAAATTTTTAGGGCATTAATCTATGCCAAAAATAAATAAAAAATGGCCAAAGATGGTGGTGTTGAAAACATGCAGGCCATTACCCGTGCGCAGTCCGAAACGCACCGGCGTGATTTCAAATTAAAAAATGACCCAATCTGGGTCATCAATCTTAGTTGGTCGATGACCCAAAACGAGTCTTTTTTTTTTTTTTCGAATTTCACGGGGCCGTTATTTGATTCTCCACCACAACGAGGTCCCAGAGGTTTCAAAACCCCTTGGCACCCCTAAACTTCTGGAATAACCCGTGCGACAATTTTGCTCAAGCCCCGGAATGGTTATTTCCATGTCCTTTCGATGTTCAATTTTCGGTCTGATATAGATATCGGAAAAAATAACTAAGGTTTATATTCCGTAATGGCAACATTGATCATAATAATATGCAATCCTTTATTTTCAATTGTCGAGTTTGCACGAGTAAATCTCTAGAGACTCTGGTGGTTTAAGAACGCTAAATTGATATTTGTTTTTGGGAACTCTAGTGGTTTAAGAACGCTAAATTTTCAAGTGTCAAATTTTAAAATTTCTTGTTTTGTTCAATAAGTTCCTGTCTAAAAACGAGCTTTCCCTTCCAACTACATTTATTTGTTGAAAATGGAATGAAAGCCTGGATGAATTTATGAAATGTCTTTATTAAACTTTAATTCCACTACAACAAATATCTTCTAATTTAGATTGAATTAACCTATTTTTGACTGAATATTTTGCGTTATCGTTAAAGATTCATTCTGATTTGAACGTTGGGAGCTCTCTCTCTCTCTCTCTCTCTCTCTCCCTCTCTCTCTCCCAACGTTGAAATCAGAATGAATCTTTCGCGATAATGCGGAAGATTCATTCCGATTTGAACGTTGGGAGAGAGAGAGAGAGAGGGCGTGAGCCATTGTCTGATACCAAACTCGGAGTCAGACACTGGTTGATGCCCAATCTCTCTCTCTCTCTCTCTCTCTCTCTCTCTCTCTCTCTCTCACGAGAATGAATCTTCCTCTTTATCGAGAAAGATTCATTCTCGTTGGGCTTGTATGATTTCGACTATTTTTTTTTTGCAGAAAGTGCTATATATATATATATATATATATATATATATTTTTTTTTATGCACTACCGGTTTTCCGAGGCTCGGCAATAAAGTTCGAGGCTCGGGAATGATCGGGCTACCTGTAGTCCGAGGCTCGGGAATGATCGGGCTACCTGTAGTCCGAGCCTCGGACTTGATAGCTGGGCGAGGCGCTGGTGGTTGAAGGAGAGGAGGAGGGGAACCAAGATCTCCTTACTTTTTCGGGTAATACATGTAGAAAAGAAATTAAAACTCGATGTTTTTTGAGTCCGGTTAGGTTTTTGATTTTTTAAAAATAGTTCAAGTGCTAAAAAAATAAAAATAAAAATATGGGGATGTAGAGCGCAAAACAATCTACAGCCCTGTATTTTTTATTATTATTTTTATTATTTTTTGCCAGCGAAAACTAATTTTGCGGGTCGAGTTGAACCCCGTTCTAATGCAGTTTAGCGCGGAGTTGTAACGGGGGTTCAACGGGCGTTGAACTGTTCAACGGGAAACCCCCGTTGAATCCAATTTCGGACACATAGCACCCCGACCCAAGTCCCACGTCAACATCATCGTGGTGAAGAAGACGCCACGCCCAATCCGAAACCCTAGGAGAACCAAACACAAAAGCGGCCAAGCGATCTACCTAAGACTCGTCAACTGGCGGATTGTGTCGGTAAGATTCTAGCCTCGCATGAATGGAAGGCTCAGACGGTCTGCGTGCACAGTACTCGACCCGGTCGCGCCATGCAGGAGTATTCCACCGAATCACTGCGATTGTCAACTGCACCTCTATAGAGTTCTCAAAGTTACTTCTTTGCGTCTATGATCATCGTGCCTTGAAAGGTCTTTACCGTCGACGTGTGACGGAACTCGGTGTAGAAGCTGATGATGTTAGTGCTGCACACACACACCACAAGATGGACTGGATGCATCGGTTGTATTGAAGACGGGGGAGGAGAGAGATTGAGCGGCAGAGAGAGAGAGAGAGAGAGAGAGAGAGAGAGAGAGAGAGAGAGAGAGAGAGAGAGAGAGAGAGAGAGTCACCGCAATATCCCGGCCAACGAGGGTTTTCATTGCCTACTTTCGACGGATAAATCACGGCGGGAACGAGAGAGAGAGCGAGAGAGAGAGAGAGATGGCGGCCGGATGAGAGGCCTAGACGGAGGGACCACACAAGTCGGGGGCGGTCGCCCCCGAAAACGGTCGTGCAGATTTGCAGGCCGAACGGACGACCGCCCACCGGGGACCAACCGACCTGCGACACCGTGAGCCTCCCTGACAGGAGCCGGTAGCGTTTCCACTACGCGGCCACCGTCGAGGAACGAACACGGGTCCAAAGGTCTCCAAAAACCGCCGCGAAAAATAAAAATAAACTATATATGTTTTATTTTTTCTCGATGGTGCGAATACTTGCCGAACCGCCAGGGGGTGGCAGTGGGTCTACCAGATCATGAAACTGGTACAGATACCTCTACCAGATCATGAAACTGGTACAAATACAAGCCGAATTCGTACTCCGGTAGGAGGCCCAGGTTGATGGACTGAATTAATGGAACCCGAGACAACCCAATCTCGCTTGGTTGCAAGGGTTGGGTACCCAAATGAGAGCCGAATAGGCCAGAAATCTCGCGGTTTTGTGTTGCTGTGCTCCCGGCTATTGGGCTGACAGCCAGTTCTCTGCCTTTTCGTGCACTGAAGTGGCAGATGCACGTGCTTGCCAAGGTAATAAAAGCAGCATCATCCCAACCGCAGGCGGAATGTAAACGGCGTAGGTAGTCCATTTGCGACTACCGAACTGTGGGGACAGGTAGGCTATCGTCCGAGAGAAAAGAGGTGGGCAGATGATTAGGAGACCGGCTTACACGTAGGACCGACCGACTGCGAGCAGCAGGTACGAGATGGGGCGGGGGGACAGGGTGGTCTTGACTCTTGAATGACACGGGAACTTTCCTGTGATGTTTCTGCGCCAAATTACAGTGAAAGCTGATCTATCGGACAGCACACGTCGGGAACTTCCGTGTGATATTTCTTTGCCCAATTACTGTGAAATCTGGTCTGTCCGACCGCAATCTCAATCTCAGTGTCATCAGACAGCAATCTGAGGTCAATAATTAGGCTCTGAGAGAAGGTCGAACGAGTCCAGGACCTGCTAATTAGTACACCTGCTTCAGCACTGCGCTGAAAGCCATAATAAGGGATAAGGGGGGACTTGACACTGACAGAGCTCGTACGATGGGTAATGCCGAGTTTGAACTCGACGGCGAGTACCACTGGAAATTTATCGCAGGCATATTTGCAGCATTCTTTATGGCTCTGGGTATCGGGGCCAACGACATCGCCAACTCGTTTGCTTCTGCAGTCGGGTCCGAGGCCCTGACGCTGAAGCAAGCTGTGCTCATTTCTTGGATCTTCGAGTTCGCGGGCGCCTTCTTCATGGGAGATCGCGTTGTGGACACGATCAGGGAGGGTATCATAGATCCGGAGCTCTACCTCCTTCGCTCTCCTACCGAATACGATAGACATGGGGCATCGCTGTTGATGTGGGGCATGTTTGCCTCCCTGGTGATGGCCTCCTCGTGGATCGCATTTGCCACGTATCATGGCATGCCGATCTCCACGACTCACAGCCTTCTCTGCTCCATCATAGGGTTCAGCTTAGTGGTAAAGGGCTGGGATTCCGTACACTGGTACGGAGGGGACAAGGAGTCGAAGATAGGCGGCGGCGGTTTCACGGCGATCGTGGTGTCCTGGGTGCTGACGCCCCTGATGGCCGGGGTCTTGTCCGCCGGCTTCTATTCGCTCACGAAACGCCTCCTCCTTTGCCCAGAGAACTCCGTGCAGCGGACGCTTCTGGCTCTGCCGGTGTACTATGGCGTGACGGCCTTCGTTGTCACTTTCTTCATCGTGTACAACGGATCAGGTAGGCTGAGCCTGAAGAACCAGGGCAACGGGACTGCCACGTGGATCGCGACCTCCATCGGGATCGCGGTCGCTCTGCTTGCGAGGCTCGTTGGGGTCCCGATGGCGAGGAGAAGGCTTGAGATTGTTGTCGATGCCAATTCGCAGACGACACCCGTCCTCTCCGTCTTCTCGAAGGGCGCCTCGAAGTCCAACGGAGTGACCGCGGAGGCCATGGCTGTGTCAGTGGACCGTGGAGCTCCTCCCTTCGACGGTGGGGCATCTGCTGCCGGGACTGCCTCGGAGGCTGGGGTAACGCCCTGCCATGCCGCTGAGAGGGCCCCAACGTGGGGCAGGCCGGTGGTTCCCTTCAACGAGTCTTGCGCTGGGGAGGTGGGACAAGCTGGCGAGGGGCGGACGTGGGAATGGATCGAGAATTGGTACTCTACTGTCGAGGCGAAGACCATCGCTCACGACCTCGAGTTCACGGAGCGAACCAGGAATATTCACAAGAATGCTGAGGTGCTCGACGAGCAGGCAGAGGAGCTGTTCAGCTTCTTGCAGATTCTCACGGCGTGTGCCTCCTCCTTCGCTCACGGCAGCAACGACACTGCCAACGCCATCGGCCCCCTGTCGGCCATCTTCAACCTTTATCGCGGCGACGCTGTGCACCGTAGGAAGGATAACCCGATGCATCTAGAGGTTTCCGAGGTCAAAGTGGAGTCGTGGATGCTGGCCATGGGGGGCGCTGCGCTGGGTCTGGGGTTTGCGCTGTGGGGATGGCGGATGGTGCGCAGTCTGGGGGGGGGAGTGACCAAGATGACCCCCTCTCGCGGCTTCACTGCGGTCCTGTGCGCCGCTCTGACCGTCACCCTGGCCAGCGGGCTCGCAATGCCCGTGTCCACAACGCACACGCTCGTCGGATCTACCGTCGGCGTCGGCTCGACGGACGGCTGGGGAAACGTTGATCGGAAACTGCTCGGTAAGTTCTTCATCGCGTGGGTGATGACCGTATTCGTTGCTGGAGTGTGTACGATGGGGTTTGTCGCGCTAACCGTTTTCTCCCCCAACATAAAAGCGTAGTTGTCTTCTACGATACTTGCTCTTATCATGAGCGTCGTTAGCAACAATGCAGGATGGGGAGGAGGCGCACCTTCTCATTCTCTCTCTTCGAGTTAATTAGCAGGTGGCGTGCTCCCTGTCCTTCCCTGTCCCTCCCCGTCCCTCCCTGTCGTTAAGATGGAACACAGACGGCGCCGCATTTTGTTCTGCCGTGTGGTTCGATCCCGTGACCAGTTCTGATAGACAGGAAGTAGACAGACGGAGTGAATATGGGAGGGGGAGGGGGAGGGGGGGTGCGAGATGCCCAATTTCCCTTGTATTTGCGAATTGACTCGATTTTGCTGACGCTGCTTATCTTGAGCTTCCTTACTCACAGTCGGTCAGTCGACAGCGATCACGTCGGTCGCTGACTATTCATGACGTCGCGGAGGGCAAACTTGCATATTTGCACTCCCCTCACCGCAATAACTATGGACGGCATCCGCGTAGTGTGCCGTGTTAAAGCGCAGGTAGGCACGCATAAGCGGATGGAAAACGAATCTAATGCCGTCAACGAATATACCGAAGGCATAGTCACACTAGGACCTTTTTTTTACTTGTTTCTGGACGTAATTGCGGTCAGATACAACGAGGTCTCGCCGTAAATGCGATCCAATACCTTTCAGATAGAGCTTGTTTGAGTACGTCCTGAGTCTGTACGTTCGTACCGTCCGTCGACAGCAGAGGGAGGAGGGTGATTTTTCTGAAGGGATGTCGTCAACGTCAAATCACCGGCGGTGCGCGTTATGTCCCCTGGTTTATGCCGGCGGCATACTAGTGGTTCAGATCTTTGTTCTTTGTTCCAGAACACTCCTCACAGTCCGGCTTTTCCTCCCGCCTTCTTCTTCCTCTTCCATACAAGTCAGCACATTGCTTTGTTTCGTATGATCAACGAGGGAGAAGCGAGGCACAGGCCGAGAGAGCGTGATTAAGGGGGGGGAGGAACGAGGATGGCCGTTGCGTGGACGTGGGAAAGGCGAGAGACGTCCTGTTGCGAGTTTGATGTCCTTTTTTTTTGTCGTTGTTGCATTTTAATCACGATTGCGATCGTGATGACAGTCAGTCCGTGCCACAGGGTAGCTGCCGACGCGCCTTCCTACCGGTAGCAGTACAGCGACCGCAGCTTTTGCTTAAGCTGCATTATTTGGTGACGGCGTTCTCAACGTCTGTTCTTATCAGCACCGCTAACACTGAAGGCGGCATTTCTTTCAAAAAAAAAGAAAAAAGAAAAAAAAAAAGAAAAAAGAAAGGTTCGTACTCCCGACGCATGCCAGAGAGAAGCAGCGACGTTCCGGAGGGAAAGAAAGGAGCTGAAGGCCAGGAAGAGTCCAGGAGCAGAGTTTTTTTTTTTTTTTAATTTTTTTTATTTTAGCAGAGATATTTTTAGCACTTGCGCATATTAGAGAATTTAGAGGCGAATTCAGTGCGACCTTCCTTAATTATACGATACTGCAGCGCAGAGAGGCTTGAGCCTGAGGGCAAGCCGTCCCTGTGAATTGCAAAAGCTTTCTGGCCACTCGTCACCTTCTTGCCGATCTGCTCGCTCTGCGGTGGCTTTGCATTCATCAAGATACACAGCAGCCGCCAAGAGGATGCATTCTCGTTTTTTTTTTTTTTTTTCGAGATGAGGATGCATTCTCAACCACTGCCACGGTCTTAAAGGAATCGTAGCTACCTGTTGAAATCGCGAGCACTGCCACGTGTTGAGAGCATTTGCATTGCCACGAATTGAGAGCGCGAGCATTGCCACGTGTTGAGATGGAGCATGGTCACGGTTTGACAGAGGCATCGCAGCAAAATGCTGACATGAGTGGTTATTGCCACGTTGAGAGAACAGCTTTGGCACGTGTTTGAGAGAGAACCTCGCCGCGTGTTGAGAGATAACGTCGTTGCCAAGTGTTGAGAGTAAGCGATGCCACGTGCTGCACAGACAAAAGGCGTTGCGTGGTCAGTGGAAATGTTTCTGAGGTTGTGGTGGTATGGAAGGGCAATCTGACGGAGAGATGAAGATCATGATTTCGCCTCGGCGGACGGCTGGAAGCAGGCCGACATCGCATCGCAGCCGCCGAGAGGAAGCATTCCCAACCCCTACCACGTTTTGAGATGAAGCGTTGATTGCCACGTGATGAAAGAAAACGATTGCCGAGTTTTCAAAGGTTCAGTTTCCACGTGTCGAGAGTATACACTGCCACGTGTTGCGAGTACCCGCTGCCACGTGTCGAAAGAAACATCACAACCTCGTGAGATGAGTGATTGCCACGTGTCTACAGAGGAATGTTGCCACGTGTCGAAAGATAACGTGGCCACCAGTTGAGACAAGACCTCACCGACTGTTGAGAGATATTTGGTGATATCGTCGCCACTTGGTGAGAGCGCAGAGGAGGAGGAGGACAACGAGGACGAGGAGGAAGAAGAAGACGAAGAGAAGCGACGAAGAAGAAAAAGAAGAGAAAGAAGTTGGTGAGAGCGCAGAGGAAGCGTTTCGACGTGTTAAGAAGAAGGATTACTGAGGTTGTAGCAACAAGTAAGGGGGGTATCTGAAGGGGAGATGGCGGTCATGTTTTGCCCCCTCATGAACATAGGGGCAGGCCTATAACCTATAGGGAGCAGGGGATTGCTGCGCCTAAGGGGTGGGGTTCGGGGGCTTCCCATAGTGGTGAAGCGGGGAGGGCTCTGGCAGGGGGGGAGGGAAGAGAATGGATGTGATAGAGGTACAGCTTGCATCATGTGCAAGATAAAATGCAGGCTGGCGAGTCTTTGGGACAGGTGCATTGAGCTCTACGAAGCCGAGTTAGGCATTGGAACTCGGCGACTGTTCCCTCACTCGTTATTTGTACAATCTTAAAGTCGGCCACGTGGCGGGTTAGCAGTGGGTGCCACTGGGTGGAAGTTGTGGATAAATTTTATTTGCGGTCGAGGAGGACCGTTGTTGTTGTTAGCTGTATTCTCCTTTTTTAATGTACTTGTTGCAATTATGGCGTCGAACCTTGTCGACTCTTTTCCTTGCTGGTGCTGATTAGCCTGCCGGCGGCGAGGAGGAGTGTAATTAGACAGGGCAACGATAAGCAGACATGTGGTTTGATTTGAGAAGCGTATTAGGAATTGTCGGAGAGAGAGAAAGGTGGTTGAATGGGCCAGGCGAGTGGCAGGGAGCAGGAGGAGAAGATGGTGTAAGTTTTAAGGACTGTACTAAGAGTCAGATGGCAGGTTTTGATGCCATCCTCTCTCTCTCTCTCTCTCTCTCTCTCTCTCTCTCTCTCTCTCTCTCTCTCTCTCTCTCTCTCTCTCT